CCCTTGGGAAACTTCTCCCTGACCCCTTTTTTCTCTTAATTTTTCAGACCATCTTCTACCCCCTTCCAGGTGGCGATGTTGAATGATTTGACTTCTCCTATCAAAGAGTGTCTGGTCCTCCCTCGGCTTGCCAATTAATATATTCCTTTCAGTATCACTATCTGGTCTTGGCCATCAAACCTTTTCCTTGGCCTCTTTTTCTGTTAGCATCGAAAATGGGAACCAATGATCCCAGAATCCTCTGGTTTACTCTGGCTAACCGTACTCTCTTTTCCATCATTTCTAAACACAAACCCCTGAGAGTCAGCAGAAACCTGGTCATTTAACTCAGACATTGGAACCTCTGCAGATTCCTTGTCATTCTCCTTTGAATCCTGTGGCAAAGAGACAATCACAGTCTGAACCCCTACAGACTTCCTGTCACTAGCACTGTGGTGGGCTCTAATTCATTGCATGATTCCTTCTCATATGGGGTAACATAAACACCTACATGTTGGCTATAAAGATGCATCCTATTACCATATTTATGTCTACTGAAGCTACTTCTTGAAACCTAGCTTTTCAACAGTGGAGGCATCCCAGCTCAGACCGTTTCATGTTTTGGGAGAGCAGTGGAGTGATTGGGATTGTCCTGCTCCCTTCGTGTAGATAGCAGTTTCTGCTGCAGATTCCTGTTGCAGAACATCTCACTGCATGAAGACCGTTGGATGGATCTTATTTATTTATTTATTTATTTATTTATTTATTTGGTGCATTTATTGACCGCCGCTCTCAGCCCTAGGGCGACTCGCGGCGGTGTACAAAAGGCAATACAAAAGGATCTTATCTTTCCCCCTCCAGCAACATAAAAATGGCCCAACTGAGTAGTAGGACTGAATTGGTAAAAAGATATATTGAGGAAAGTTTTATTACGTGTGCAACCACCATAAAAGTGAATGATGATGATGTAACTTTTATTTGGTTGTTGTGTACCTTCAAGTCATTTCTGATTGATGATGACCCTAAGGCAGTCACAGGGATTTCTTCACAATATTTGTTCAGAAGACGGTTGCCTTTGCCTTCTTCTGAAATTGAGAGGGTGTGACTTGCTCAAGGTCACCCAGTGGGTTTCTATGGCTGAGCAGTGATTCAATCCCTGGTCTCCAGAGTCATAATCCAACTTTCAAAACACTACCACATGCTGCCCCTCTATGTTATAATTGCTGGACAGGATACATCAGGCAGTCATACATACATCTTTCAGCTGACCCTGGTCATGTTGTTCTCTTTAAATTTCTGCTGAACATTTTCTGAATATAATGCTACTTGCTAGAGATTGTGTTTTCGGTGTCCGGTGCACTCTCTGTCTTACGATTATGCCTAAATTTCATGCCTCCCAGTCAAATTATATTTCATCAAACATCAAAGCCCCACAGTCCTGCTTAATGAAATCCTGAGAGTGGAACAAACTCCTTAAGCAAATTATATATTTGCTTTGTTGTATCTGCATTAGCCATGCATCACATTGGGGTGTGTGCGTGTGTGCATCTCCGTTGCTCTGGGAAACAGCATTCTCTGTGAGACCCTTCCCTTCATTTCTAAATCCATTTACTTCTATTATTCAAAATAAGATTCTTATAATAGGCGAGCATGGTGTAGTCTGTTGCAGCCTTGCTGAGCAGCAATTTTTTAAAGAAAAAGAAAAGTTATTGGGTACGTAAAACCATTCAAAAGTGGCTCTTTGTAGTCTACCTTTCCTGCCTATGCAAACCTTTGTAAATATCTTCTTGTTATCTCTGTTGACTTCCTCTGCCTCACACAAAATGTGTAAAATTAAAGCACCAGATGGCAAAACACGACCCTTAACAGAGATGCGTGTGTTTTAAGAACTAGATATGTTATTTGAAAGACACCCCCCTCTCTCTTCCTCTCTCTCTGCAATGCACACATGAATCCACACTAAGGAAATGCTTATTTAAATTATTATTACTACTGGAGGACAAAACATGTAATCCATTCTCTTGCTACAGGATCATATTTGATTAAGTTCAACAGGTCCTTGGTATCTGCTAGGGTTTAGTTTTAGGACGCTATGTGGATACTAGGTTTGTTAAGTTTGGTTCAGAAAAACCAAAACTTCAGAAAAACTTACCGAATTTGGACTTTTGAACCAATTTTGAACCATGCAGGAATAGTGGGAGGAGAAATTCTGAATTTGAACCACTTACCCATTGTTCGGAATTATTTTCTGATGTCTCCCACAATTATTTTGATTTTCAGAACCATTAAGCAACTTTGGCAAAGCCTAAACAAACGGTTTTAAAATCTTGCAGTTTCCCTTCCCTGGCGAGTGGCGGCAATGCAAAGAGGGACAAGGTGGGTGTGGCTAAGCAGTAGCACAGCTCTTCTTGAAGGCCACGCCCCCAGTGGTAGAGATTGCAAAAAGTCCTGCCATCTCTACCACTGGGGGCATGGCCTTCAAGAAGAGCTGTGCTTAGCCACACCCACCTCATCCCTCTTTGCATCACCACTCACCAGGGAAGGGAAACTGCGAGATTTTTAAACTGTTTGTTTAGGCTTTACCAAAGTTACTTGCTTAATGGTTCTGAAAATCAAAATATCCATGGGAGACATCCAAACATCACGGAATAATTCCACACTGCCTTGCTGCTCATTAGCCAAGATGGTTGAGCAGCAGTCTTTGTCTAAGTATAAAATAAAGTGAATCTACAAAGGTGTCTAAAGAGAAGGCAGCAAAGCCTTTCCATGCAATAAACCCTTTCCCTGAAATAAAGATAGAATGTGTCCACCACAAAAGGGGAGCTCCATGGCTCTCTCCACATACACACACAGTTTGTGCTACACAAAGTTTCTGGAGTGGAACAATTACTTTTCAACTAAATCTGGTTACCAGTATTTTTTTAAAAAAACCTCCAAAATCAGCACAGTAAATAAAGAGCAACACTCAAAAAACAGGGGAATTCCAGACAGGAAACAATCAGGGCCAGCTAACACCTCCCAACAAAGGATTCCCCAGGCAGGAAGCAGCCAGGCTTTGAAGCTGTGAGGCCATTCAATGTTAATCAAGGTGAACAATTGCAACATTCACACTTGCCTCCACCAGACAAGAGTTCTTTCTTCCACCTTGGTCATTCCAGAGATATATAGTCCTCACTTGCTAGATTCCAGCAGACTTCACAACCTCTGTCCACCGGAGAGTGAGAGAGAAAGGCTCTCGCACCCACGTTCATACAAAGAAACAGTGCAAAGATCGAGCGAAGATAAAGGTTCCTATTCTCCCATGCAAGTCAATGGCAGCAAAATATCCTACTGGCAGAGCTTCCGCCTTGGAAACAAAAGCCTCCCAAGCTTCCCCGGTTCGAATCCCAGTCAGGGACAAAAACATCAAAAACAAGGGAGGGCACGGAGGGTTGCCAAGGGTTGCCAAGACACCTGCCATTAACAAAGCAATTCGGATTTTTTTGATATTTCCAATCTTTTTTTCCAGAAAATTTCAGAAATCATTTCAAAATCGCCAGCACTCCCTAAACCGAAACGAGTTTTGCACCATTTTTTTTTTGATCAAACAAGCCTAGTGGATACCAAAATATATGGATATTCAAGATCACTATATACATTTAGTAGTGAAATGGGGATTCCCTAGGTAAAATGACCAAATTAGTTTGCCTGTTGAATTTCTATAAAAACATTTTCAAGCCATGGATGGTGGAATCCATGGATGCAGACTCTACGGATACAGAGGACCAACTGTATTCAAGGACAGCCTCAAGAAGGGAAAAGCTTCAGTGCTTCAACGTGACCCTTTTCTGACTGTCTCCCATTTCAATGGCCAATGGAAGGATGTAGGCCTCAACTATCCAATGAGAATTGAATAGTTGAGGCCTACATCCTTCCATTGGCCATTGCAACTGTTGCCTCTCTTATTCTGCCAACAGAGGCAGCTGTGGTCCCCATCATATGACCTTGTGAGTGAATTTTTCTTCCTCCCTGGGTAGTGAGACAGCATAAGCCTCGTCATCCATTCCTTAGTTGATGGCCTAGCTATCCATTTTTTAGTATAAACTGCAGAAGACAATTCTCACAAACAGAAGGGCTGTTTGAAGTGCGTATTGCCTACTTATCTCTCATCCGCCACCATACCTTTCTTCTTTCCATTTAGCCCTTAGCTGTTTTGGCACAAGTTTTGAGTCACCATCTTTGGTTCTTTCCTGTTTTAAAGGAGCCTGCTCTTTCCAAGTCCTGGGCAGGACCCTCCCCATTCTCCCTCTTAAAGACCCCTTCCTTGGTACAGCCATTTTAAGGACCAAGGCAACTGAGAAAGGAAAGTTGTTGCTGTACATATCCATATCAGGAGAACATTGGTGACAATCTTCATTCACTTGCTTCCCAAATATCGATGCTTACACTTCTGCATCCCACTTCAAACAAAGTATGTAGTGGCCAGTCTTTCAGTTTTTCTGGGAGGACTATCCAGAACTTCATTTCTGCCTTTGTGAAATCTTTCTGTATTTTTATATCTTTAAAGATAGAAATAAAACCAGCATAGCTAGTGCAGCACATGAATCATGCTATGGAAAGTCAACCATCTTGTCCAGAGACTGAAAGTCATTTACACACTTTTTGAAAAATAAGAAATCTAATGATGCAATAATAATCTGGGAAGATAGCCAGTATACCATGGCTAATATAGAATCCTGGGAGTTGTAGACTAGTGGGAACTAGCACTCTTTGACAAAGACAACTAAAGGCCTTGTAAAATTACAACTTTCAGTATCCCATAGCATTGAACTCTGCCAGTTAAAATGATGCCAAACAGTATTAATTCTACATTGTAGATGTCTGATATGGAGTGTATGGAAAATGTACAGAGTTGTACATTGTATTGTATTTGGAGCCCATGTGATGCTATATCTTTAACTTCTGTGCTCTGCGTAATAATATTTTTTAAAAACCCTTTACTATGTTGCTGTTTACCTCTGTGACTGCATATTTTTTTTCATTTCAGAGCTAATGAGGACTATCAGCTGTACATTGCCAAACTGAATATGCCAATAAACACATCTCACAAGTTTTGGGTTAGTAAGTACATTTTATGAACTGTCTTCTTCATTTTTTTTCTACTCAGTTTCTTTCTAGTTGAAGAGAAATGCAAAATAACTTTAAAAGATATAAGCACCTTAGGCGTTTTAGTAGCAACTTGATTTTATCTCCCTCAGGTATAAGTGGCTGTGATTTCTCTCTAGTTCTTTTTCCTCCTTGATCTGTTTCAAAAGCTCTTAACCCTTTAGCTAATCTTGCATTAACACATCACAGTGCCTTCCTGGTCTTATCTTTGCTGCCCAAGCCTTATCATTTCATTAGTTCTATCTTTTCCCTTCCTCTACCTTTTCCCCATCTTTATCTTCCCTTGCAGAACAACTCCATCCTCTGTATGTCACAAGCACCATCTCCCAATATCTAGGTTACATGAAAGCTCCTTGTTGTCATTTCTTCTTCTACTTTTCGATATTGCTTCCTATTTTCTCTTTTTGAAAATACAGATACTATCTCTTTTGGTCTGGAAGAGAACTTCACCACTATGGTGAAAACTCTTTTGCAGCTGCCCATTCCTATCTCTTATAGTGCCCCGTTGCCACCTGTTCATAGCTGGGCATTTGGGACCTAGCAACTTCTATGGCCCTTTGGAACCAAAAAGGAAGGCAACCTGGCAGGAAGAGAGCAACTTTCCATTCTTAGTGCTTAACAGAGTTGTTGAGTTTTCAAAACAGCAATAAGAGCAATAAGCTGCGGCACATGTGGCAGACCTATACATCTAAGACCTTTTTTCAAATCTCATAAGAGGAAGGTCTCTCACATCTCAAAGTCCCATAGGAACCCCCAAATCCTGGAAATCCCATCTTCACAGACATTGTAATGAAAGGAATTGTAATGAGAGCCATTGTAATGAGAGGAATTTTATTGCTGTCAGGTTGAACCCATTGCTCAGTCTGAGGGAGGAAGACTGAGCACTGGTCATAGTCTCAGACACTAACAGTTTGCTTCTTTTAAAGATCTAGGTTTCATTGTGATGCTTGAAGCACAAACCATTGAAACTATTGTTTACATGGGTATATAGACATCTATATCTATCACAGGTTGGAAATGTTATACTTTGGACTAAAATTACCAGAATCTTCCAGTTAAAAGCCACTCATCATATTGGCTGGGCAGTCTAAGAGTTGCAAGAAAAAATTCAGTTTTCCAAGATAGGTCAATAAGTTTGTTGAGGCATGTGGTGAGTGTATGCATTCCGCAAACTCACTGTAGCTTCCATTATGTGAAAACAATATCTGAAATGGTCAGGTTTTTTGGAGCCACAGATATTCTCCATGTGAGCAAGGATATTGGAAAATGAGGATTCTGGTTATTGGAGAATAGTAATAAAAAAAGGATTTTATCACACTAATCAATTATTCCACTACAATAATATTATCATTGATAATGGATACATACAGGGTTGGACACCATCATATCATATTTCTCTAACACAATTGTGCTAATTCACCATTAAGTAGTTCTACAACTATACTTCTGCACACTCTTATAACCCTGCTTCCCTGCACTACTGCAATTCCTTATTTTTTATTATTGTTATTATTTTTAGTGCAATTGTGGGATTTCTGCATTAGAAAAAAGAGAAAAATGTATGGAAAAGAAAGAAGAAAACAGCCAGCCTCGAAATAACAAGGGGGTGGGGGAAGAGAATGGGAATCCCAGCCTGTGGTGTCACTTTACTGCTGGCATGCCAGCCCAGAAGTCAAAGGATAGGCAAAGGAAACTTTGTGGGATGAGATGCTATTGATGGGTTTTGCTAATTAGGGTTAGGAAAAACACAGGTGAGCAATACAAAACAATATAAAGATGCACACAGCATTGTGTGATGATTGGGGCACATCATCAAAGGCGATGGTCCTGCAATACTATTTTGCAAAAACCTCCATAAATATTCTCTACATATACTAAACTCTACATTTAGTAAGTTAATAAAAGAGACACCACATTAATTCTGCTAGGTTTTGAAGCTCACAGTCTTCATCACTTGGCACATTGCTTTTCTATGGCAAATGCAACAATGGGAGTTTGGTTATCATGCTTCTAATTTTAATTTTATTTTTTTTATTTACAGTATTTATATTCTGCCCTTCTCACCCCGAAGGGGACTCAGGGCAGATCACAGAACATACATATGCAGCAAACATTCAATGCCGTTTTATAAACTAGACAGAAAATTATACATAGATAAGTGACATGTGTGTGTGTGTGTGTGTGTGTGTGTAATGTATATCTCAGCTCCCGGGGGGGGGGGGAGTCTGCTCCTGCTCCATCTCCCTGCTGAAGAGCTAATTTGTACTAATTCATAAGCTTCCTCCTTTGGATTGAATCACCGGCATTCCTTCTGGGCGCCTCAAAATACCTTCCCTGCTTTTTAAATAAATATTACCTATATATCTCTGGAGCCCCTGGTGGTGCAGCAGGTTAAACTGCTGAGCTGCTGAACTTGCTAACCGAAAGGTCAGTGGTTCAAATCCAGAGAGTGGGGTGAGCTCCCACTGTTAGCTCCAGCTTCTGCCAACCTAGCAGTTTGAAAACATGCAAATGTGAGTAGATCAATAAGTACCTCTCCGGTGGGAAGGTCATGGCACTCCATTCAGTCATACCAGTCACATGACCTAGGAGGTGTCTACAGACAATGCTGGCTCTTTGGTTTAGAAATGTCAAGGAGAAATATTTACCTTTAACTTTTTACCTCTTTATCTAATCACATTTTTGCTTTCAAACCACTACATGGGCAGAAGCTGGGCTAAGACCAGGAGCTCACCCTGATCCAGCTTCGAACTGGAAGCTTTTTGACTGACAAGATTGACTACAGCTGCCGTTTAACCTGCTGTGCTAAAGCCTGCCCTAATTTTGTCTGTGACTAGCATAATATCTGCCTTTTTTATCATGGTTTATATCTATATTTATGAATAGAGAGGAAGGGAAGAAGGGAGAGACAGAAACACAGAGAGAAGGAGAGGGCTGGATTGTCTGCCTGCTTGTCTGTGTATTTCCTGGGGCCACAACTTTATTACTATTGGACTAAGTCTACAGGGGCTGTCATGATGAACTCCTGCACATCAACTTTTGCCCACATTGATTGCTTGAAGAACATGAAATGTATCGTCTGCAGTCCCTGAAGAACTGTATGTACCGACACTGGCAATACTTCATAAAGCAATTTTAAAAATGAAAGAAAATTGTTTTAAAATGAGATTAGCTGAGCAGGTGAGAAATCCTGCATAGTAGGCATGTGTAAAATGATTTGACCTTTGATATATAAGAGATTTACTCTCAGCCTTGTTAAAAGCTGACAAATGATAAACCACTTAATATGTGATAAGCCCCTTTAGGGGCACATCTGAACCAATTGAAGCTAGCTAGAAGGAACCATCAAGCTTGTGCATGATTCCACAGCTTAGAGAGAAAAGGCCACAGGAGGTGTGCTCACATGTCAGTTTATCTAAGAACAGCTGTAATATAATTGAAGCATTCATCTCAAGTTTCAGAGAGCTGGAAAATGATCTTGATTGAGATGCTGCAGAATTCCACATGTTTTAATGGAAATGTAGGGCTTGTTCACATAATCAGGAGATGAAGTGGAAAAAATGAACTGCATCATTTTACATTTCAGCTGTTTGTGGAAAGAGAGGACCACATGGGTCAAAGTAAATGTTAAGGGGATATATATATTATCTGTGTGGATTTCTCCTGTAATGAGATTTCGTCAAAGCTGCACACCTTACCCATCAACCAGTTTTCAATTCTGATTGCTATCTTTCAGTAATTAATTACAAAATAAAACAAATGAAAGATGTAGGTATGGGAAAATACATGCTACAGCAAACAGATATCTTTTTCTCATTCAAGAGAATACCTGTTCTTAAAATGTGCTCTTAAAATGTGCGTTGGCCTTTAAAGCCCTAAACGGTTCTGGCCCAACTTATCTATCCGAACGTATCTCGGCCTATCAGCCCACCAGGACCCTAAGATCTTCTGGGGAGGCCCTGCTCTCTATCCCGCCGGCCTCACAGGTGCGGCTGGCGGGGACAAGAGACAGGGCCTTTTCTGTGGTGGCCCCTCGGCTTTGGAACACCCTCCCCATAGAGGTAAGATCAGTCCCCTCGCTGGTGGTGTTTCGAAAAAGATTGAAGACATGGATGTTTGAACAAGCATTCGGTTAACCCGGTGCAATGAATTTTGATGATTAAAGGACTGGTAATCATGGACGATGAATTTGGATTGCGATTCTAGTGATGAGATGCATTTGGATTGTTATTGGTGGCCCAATAATTTGTATTGTATATGTGTTTTTTATGCTTTTAAACTGAATATTGTTGATTTTTGTAGTGTTGTAAACCGCGTTGAGTCGCCGATTTAGGCTGAGAAATAGCAGTATACAAGCGCAGTAATAAATAAATAAATAAATAAATGTTAAAATCCATGGATACCCGAACCCATTATATACATTGTATGTACAATGTGAGTATATGCTGGTAGGTATATGTATTAATGCCTGTGGAAAGGCAAGTAGCAAGCTGAAGCCTGATACAGTATAATCTTGGATAATATTTATGAACTTATCTACTACTTTTATAGAGTAGACCAGGTTTCTGCAACGCAGCACCCTCTGAAAGGCATAAGACCGAGAAAAGAGAACTAGGAGAGAGCAAGGTACAAAGAAAAAAGAAAAAGAAGAAGGAAAAGGATTAGAAACCTCCAAAGATACCAGGAAGTCAACGTAACACTCACAACAATCATCTCCCTTCACCATCCCTCACTACTCATTCCAAAATTTCTTTTCTCACAACATCCACACTACAGAAAATGAGTGTCTTATAAGACGACGAGATTCAAGACAGCTGAACACCCCCTACTATATCTTTATCTCTATCTCTATCCGCCCTTTTCCCCCCCTTTCCCTCCCCTTCTTTACCAGCACCTGTTACAGTGAGAAACTTTTACAGGTTTAAAAGTTTCCAGCACTACCTATCTGTAT